TTGTTGTTGTTGTTGAAATGACTAAGGAGAAAAAAGCAGGCTTAGTTTAAGTAACTTCACAGCACATCGAACTGCGTGTAATACATAATGGTAATTTCATTTAGCATATAGAGAAAAACATTAATGTCACCTTTGACTGTAAAATTGATGGCCATACGCCATATTTTACGTCACTCCTTCTGAGGCACATTGGGTATTAATGCCCTGTGCGAAATAAAATCTTTTACAGTCGAAGGTCTGCATCATTATCCAGTTAAATCTTCTCTTTCCTCTCGCTGTCGACATTCTCATCAAAAATCAACAATGAAATGTGACGCGATGCCGTAAAAATAGCACGCCACCTTCCAGAAGTCGTAAGCATGCATATGCGTAGTAGTGTAAGTTACATTTTCGGTAGTGACACAGGGCTCTCAAGTTTTCTGAACTGTTTTTTTGCCTAGCTGCAGTGATCACGCAATGGGATTTGTAGTTTTATAACCATGCAGACCAGAAATCATAACCAACGGATTAGTTTCACAGCGTTTTACTATTTTATTTTCTGCGGACAACGCTTTTTGGGAATGAATGGAGGTAAGAATTTTAAGACTTGGGTAAATTAAATTTAAGACCTAGGATGAAAATCTGGGCATTTTAAGACATTTTAAGGCCTTAAATTTAACTTTCTGAATTTTAGACTTTTTAAGACCCCGCGGGAACCCTGCAGTGACTAAAATATAAATATATCTTCCTGTTCATATTATTTTAATGGATTTTTTTCCGATTACAGTCATTGCATTTCATGTTTCACCTTTGTAATATGCATACGCTTTTATTTTACAGTAAAATACCGTTATAACGGAATTCAAGGGACCTGGCAAAATAGTCCGTTACATCCAGAGTTGCTGTATGCCCAGAACACAACTACTGTCACGCCTCTTTCCGGTTGACCAAGCCTCCTGACGATCATCTATTTAACCAGCACTAACCACTGTTGCGAATTATCATTGCTCTCATGCGCCCTACTAAGCATTCTTCCTCTTTTGTGCCACGTCATCTGCCCTGCCCGACCTGCCTGCCCGTCTCGTCTTCCTGATCCCTGCCCTGCTTCATCTGTGTTTCCTGGTGTGCCTGTCTTCCTGTCCTGTGCCTCTTTGTAGGATCTCTCCGGCTCCCGACCCTCTGCCTGCCTTCTCGACCATCGCTTGTTGCCTTCCCCTTTGGACTTGTTTCTCGTTCGGTGTCCCAATAAAACTTTGGGTCTCCTGCATCTGGGTTCAACCTGTTCTGTTCTTCTCGGACGTGACAACTACAAGACACCATTTACTCATGCCACACCTCAGCAGACACACTTGTGGTATAGATTATTATATTGTACATGTAGCAATCCAACTTTACCTGACTAGATGCATGACTATTAATAATCCCGACTACGTACGTATCACTGGCACGCCACACGCCTTGTAGGCAGAACTGCATGTCCGTTATAGCCGAACAGAACTACAGCTAAAAGCGGCCCTGGGCACCAAATTGTTTGTCCATTATAAGCGAAATTCCATTATATGCCAGTCTGCTATATCCGATGCTTTTTCTGCATGTTCTTAAATACGCACGGCTGGGACCAGCGGACCTCGTCCGTTATGGATGATTGATATTCCATTATAAGCGAGTCCACTATATCAGGATTTTACTGTAATTATTTTGGAATTAATTGGAATGCTAAGATGTGATTTCACAGCCTTTATTATATTGATTATGTAGCAATCTCAGCTCTGTTCTCCATATTATGGAAGTATCACGCAGAGCTTTACTTCAGAAAAGATGGTTTTTATTCTCTGCTTTCTCGTCTTGCTTTTACTCACAGCACTGACTACAGGGTTCCATTTTTTTTATATACGTATATACAAGACTCATTCTCCCGCTAACTCAAATAAAATCATGTCACTTTGGTACACCTTACAGATTAACAAAAAAATTCAATCAGATAATGTAAAATATAATGTCAGATGAGGATCTAATTTAACAGATTATATGATATGAATAGTAAGATCGCGGAATTTCGTCCGATGGAACGATCTGTTGGGAATCTGTTTCCACACGTTGGACGTTCTTTGAAACAACGCTAAACTAAGCGAGACAGATATATCCTGGTCCAGACCAGGCTTGTTTGCAGGCCTAAATTACCATGGTAATTCAGCGGGGATTCATTTAAGACACGTTGATGGAACGGAACTCTCACTTAAGTAAGACTGACTTTTCGAAATAAGTCAGACTTTCCCTTAAGCCTGCTTCATGGAATACCCCCCAGCAGGGGCGCCGCCAGGGGGGAAAAGGTTAGAACGATTCTAGGGGCCCAGCACTGACATGGGGCCCTGTTAGGGGCTAATAATATTATCTTAATAATGTTGCCCTATTTAGGCTTTTGAAATAAAATATAAAATTTTATCTGTTACAATAAGCAAATTGAACATGGTTGTCGTTTTCTATAACATTTTTCTTGAATTCTTTATCATATTGTCATTTACCCCTCTCTCTTATTGAGGAATGGTACGGTCTGATTCTCGCAGGGCGGGACATGTGAAATGCGTGTGCTCAGAGAATGATCAGCTGTTCTATTCTATATAACGTGAGCGTAACCGCTGCACGCAGGTGTAGGCTACACATGAACAGTCGCTACTGATGGTGATAGTGACAGTAAATATGAAGTCCGGCTACCAAAAACGTAAAGAGAAGCTGCAGAAAGCTGAGAGGGAGAAAAAGGGCAGACAATTGGTGACTCAGTTTTTCCCAAAGAAAGGTAGGCTATTAGCAGGCATTAGTCACTGACCTTGGTGTTTATAATATGCTAGCGAGTGATGGATAGCAGTGATGCGCGGGTCAATGTATAAACAACCCGAACCCGACCGACGTTTTCAAATAACCTGCCCGCAACTCGGACCGCAAAAAAAAGAAAGAAAATATTGTACCCGACCCGCTTCCTGTCTAGTACCATATAAATTACAAAGGTTTAATTGGCATCTTTATTTCAAACGACCGACCGCGACCCGAATATCATTAAAAATATTTTTGGATGACTCGTAACCGCGGGTGACCGCGGGCACCCGCTCATTTTGGATCAACCCGCGCATCACTGATAGATAGACCTACAGATTTCGTATTAAAGTGGTTGGATTAGCCTAACAAGAGAACAATTTACCGTACAGTTAGCAATGCAGTGCCATTTTATTTTAATTCGCAACCTTTATTGCCACGGGAGATCAGATGAATGTACAAAACTGGATGAACATGTGTGATTGTCACGTTTAGGCAAGTAGGCGAACCAGGAAGCAGGCGAGCTGAGCCAAACTTACGGGTAGAAGGGGGTTTATTGGCTGACGGACAGACAGGCACGGACATCTACGGACAATACAATGACAAGTCTCGGGAAGACTGACTCAGACAAGGACTAAATACAAAAGACGGGCTAGACCTAACAGGATACAGATGATCACAATCAGGGCGAAACAGGAGGTAATGAGGTGGGCGTGGCACACATCGGGAGCGGACGGAGCGGGGCGTGACAGTGATAAACTAGGCTAATATACAAGATAAAACATTACATTATGCTGGTGCTAGCCAGTTTCATAACTAATGAAGTGCCCTCAACATGCACAGATTCACCCTCAGGGGGACACCTGCCCTCAGCACCAAACCCACTTGAAGGAGAGGGAGGTGAGCAATACAATCCATAAATAAAGGCTTTAGGATTTATTATTATTATTATTATTATTATTATTATTATTATTTACAGGGAGCAGCTATCAAGCTAGTTAGCATATTAAAGAGTTGGTGATAATAGACAACAGTCAGAATTAGGCTGAAAAGACTGTTAGGCCTACTATAAAATGGAAAATCCATGGTCACTTTCAAATTTTACATATTTATTTTCTTTTATGAGCAACAATTGTTAGGCTACTTACAATGTGGAGTTCATTTAAATGCAATGTTAATGTGGTAAGAGAACTTGCATGCGTCACTGTATCAGTGTGGATTTATAACAGACTGTATTATGCACATTGTGGACACTTCAGAGCCAGGTCCTTCTTCAGGCCATGATGCAGCAGCCAGAGAGGAGACCAGAGGTGCTCAAGTACAGGAAGAGAACAGGGCGAGTTCAAGCAACGCAGATGATGAGGAAGAAGCAGCAAAGAGTAAGGAGCAGAGAGAGGCTGAGTTGAGGGACATTGGTGAGACTGAGCAGCATGCAGAACCTGAAGATCTGCTGTCTGCTGATCCAGGGTTGTGGCCAGAAAAATTAAGTGACAGTGATAGAGCATGCATTATTAGAAAATTGGCTGCGACAGAGGAAAAACAAATGCCCAAAGACTCTGAGGGAAAGCCATTTCCAGATTACTTAAAATATACAAAGACAGCAAATGGCAGAGAAAAGATGAAAAGGGATTGGTTAATTTACAGTGAGAGTGTAAATGCACTTTTCTGCATTCCTTGCATTCTTTTTTCACGGGATGTAAAAAGACCTTCTCAAAGTGCTCTGAGTAGCGAGCATGGTTGCATGTATGACAAATTCCCAAGCCATGAAAACAACCAAGCACACAGGGATTGTTACTGGAAGTGGAAAAACTTGCAGTGTTCTATTATGGCTGCAAAAGGGATAGACCACCATCTGCAAAGACAGATGCAGTCAGAAATAGAAAGAAATATAGCCCTCTTGGAGAGACTACTTCATGTCACGCTGCACTTGGCATCGAGAAATTTGCCTTTCAGAGGTAAAACAAAAAAGTTAGGTGATGTCCACAATGGGAACTATTTGGGAACACTAGAACTAGTATCCCACTATGACACACTTTTAAAAGAACACCTAGACAAAGTGAGGAACTCGGCCAAAGAAACTAGACTTACTCATTATTTGTCCTCCGACATTCAAAATGAGTTCATTGAACTGTGTGGGAAAAGAATGCTTAAATCTATTTTGAGAGAAAGAGAGGATGCCATTTATTACAGCATTTTTTGTGATGCCACACCAGACATTTCCCACACAGAGCAAAATGTTTTGCTCATTAGATATGTCCATTATAATGAGCATGCAAATGAATGGGAGATAACAGAAAAGTTTATTGAATTCAAACAATTCAATAAAAAAACAGGGAGTGAAATAGCAGGGATGATCGAGGATGTGCTTAAGAAACTAGGGATAGATATTGCTGATTGTAGGGGACAAGGCTATGACAATGGTGCTAACATGTCTGGGAAAGTTAAGGGAAAGTTAAGGGAAAGCCCAAATACTTAAGACCAACAATCTGGCCACATTTTCACCCTGTGCTTCCCACACGTTAAATCTTGCTGGGGTACATGCAGCAGGATCAAGTGATGAAGTGTCAACTTTTTTTGGCTTCATCAATTGTCTTTACAAATTTGTAAGTGCCAGTCCAGAGCGTTGGGCCATATACAAGGAAAGTACCAGCTGCTCTGTCCACAGCTTGTCTGACACTCGCTGGAGTGCAAGAATTGATGCTGTTAAACCGGTTGCAAAACACTTACCAAGTGTCATTGAGGCCCTTAGTTCCATACTAACTACATGCAGTCTTTCAAATGATGCTAGAGCTGAAGGTGTTGGTCTGAGGAAGTACTTCATGTCATTTGATGCCATTGTGCTTCTTACCATCTGGGTGAAAGTATTGCAGTGTATTGATTGCAGGAATGTGATACTCCAGTCAGGTAAAATTTCTCTTGAGGTGGAGGCAGCCAATATAAATGCACTCAAAGATGAGATGCAGGCTCTAAGGAATGAATGGGAGTCCCTCCTCTCTGAGGCAACATTAATTGCAAATGAAATGGGGATTCCACCTCAATTCAAAAAAGAACTCAGCCGTGAGAGGAAGAGAAGGAGGTTCTTTGATGAGCCCCCCCCCCCAGAAGAAACAGGTCAGAGCGACTGTGCAGAGGAATTTAGAAACACTGTGTTTTTCACTGCCATGGACCATAGCAGCAACATCACTGTCCCTTAACTGACCAACCTTAATAATAGCAGCAAACTCCTCAACGATGTTTGCTATTGTTTGGAACCGAGTGTCCAAGTCACTAGTGATGTGTGTCACCCACTCATAAGCAAGTACACAAAGGACCTCACTCCTCAGTTGAAGAGTGAAATCAGGCATCTCAACACAGTATTTTTTGCCACTTTCCCCTATGATTGCACCAGCCTTGAGCTTCTCAATTCAATTTACAAAATGCAACTCCAGAGCATTTTTGGAGAAGTGTGTATTGCCATTAGGATTTTTTGCACTCTCCCAGCTACTGTTGCTGGTGGAGAAAGAGCATTTAGTAAACTGAAACTTATCAAGAGCTACCTCAGGTCAACAATGGTACAGGAGAGGTTGAATAGTCTGGCAATCCTCTCAATTGAAAGTGAACTGGCTCTCTCTCTAGATTTCAAAGACTTAATTTATGACTTTGCTACCAAGAAGCCTCGGCGTCTAGACTTAGGCATCTAAATCAAGAGACAAAAGTGTTGAGTTGAGAAAAAAAACAAGTACTGTAAATGTTTTACCATTGTTCATGTTTGGATTTGTTGATACTGTTTGTAAGTATCTATGTTGAATATTTGAACATTTGTTGTGCCTTTTAATAAGTGAGTGTACTACAGGTGAAAGAAAACACCTTTTTCATAGGTACCTTTACTATGTCAGTACTAGTGTAAATGTTTTACCATCTGAAGTATAAACAATGTGTATCTGTTATAAGTCCATACTGATACAGTGATGCATGCAAGATGTTTCAACACATTAAGAACTTAGAATGGACTCTATACCAAGTAACAATATGTAGTTGCTAATGATGTTATCACCTAAACAGATGATCACATGCAGCATACCTTTTCGCAAAGGGGGGGGGGGCAAAATTCTAATCTTTCATGGGGCCCAAGATTTCTGGCGGCGCCCCTGCCCCCCAGGTCTGAATGAGAATGAATGACGCAGCCGACTGGCTGCTTCTAGCGCCGAGGTGGTTAAAACAGTACGGTCCACATTAGGGCTGTTTGAAATCGTTTTACATAAAATTTTCTATAAGGTGAGATTATCTTTTTTTTTTTTTTTTACAACAAAAGAAAAATGTTAAGACCCCCCCCAAACTGCTATTTTTGGCTCTTTGCGGGGGTCTGGGTCTTGATCGGGGGGTACAGTCAGGGGCGTAGCACCAAATTCTGGGCCCTATGCCCAAACAGTGCCCATGCCCCCCCCCCCAAAAAAAAAAACAAAAAAAAAACAGGCTAATCACACAGGACTTCACTGGAACATCATACATCATAGGCCTGCATGAAAATTGAACACTTTTGCATTTGGCTGAAGAGAACAGCTTTTTATCAAGTAGCCTATTTATTATTATTACATAAAAGAAAAATGCCATTTCAGATTTCCACATTGACAAAATACTTTATTTATAATGAAAGATAAACAAAACTTGACTCACTAGTCATTTTTCATAAAAAAAAGGGCAAAAAGAAAATACTGAAAAATGGCAATGGGCAAAAAACTAAACACTGAAATTTATATCCCAGTTAGTGCCCACTAGGATACGCGGAAGTGCGGCTGTTTAGAATGTGAATAGCGATCTTCACGCGAAGGTGGTACTAGACGCCCCCCATGCAGGTAAAACAAAGGTGACATGGTTTATTTTTTGCCGATTTAACATAATTTTAATAACTTTAAATACCTCCGACAATGGACGTTTTGAAAAGAAGACAGATTACAGATTTAGTCAGCGTTTTTTCCATGATTCTACACGAACATTTCAGCGAGATATAAACTGAAATAGACGAGAAAGATACGCGGCGGAATCCAGGGGGTTAAGCAAACAAAAAAAAATATTTAGACTTATCTAGACTACATCATGTTAAACTTTGTGTAATTTCGCGGTGGTATTGAAGTGTTTAATAATCACAGTTCATTTAATGTAGGCTATTTGCTTTCACATTTCGGCTCACCTTTCTTTGGAAAAAAATTTGTAAGCAGTTGCTTTCCCTCATTTCTTTTTTTGTTTCTTTCCTGCCTCTCTTTTCTTTTTTGAAAACCGGATTTATCTTTCTTTGGCATCATCTTCCAGCACGGATTCAGCTGTTTCAGCAGAATGACCGCTAAATTAAATGCGCCTTTTCAGAATTCGCCCTCTAGTGGTTCGGACGCATACGTCCGAGTTTTCAATACCAAAGAAAAATGACGTTCAATAAAAGAAACAAATGTATAAAATCAACGAAAAACGGCTTGTTACACTACAAGAAACCTTTATTATAATATATGTACAAAGTTGCACAATTTTTGTGCCATAGTTTTTTTGTAACAAGTATAAACAAAATGACCATGGTAACCATCTTTAAACGGGTCGAGTGTCCGGAAGTGAAATATAAGTGTTAATAAAATGAAAACTAAGCACTTCAAACTATTTCTTTCACGACCAATAATTCATAAACCGTCACAGTATTAAGACAAATCACATTTTTCCATAAATATGACTGTCATGCTCTCAAATAGCTTGCTCACTCTTCGCAGAAAAATGTCAGTCGGCATTGTTTACATTCGTGCTATGTTTTTCATCTTCGGAATTTTATAAGAAAACCATTGAATAAAATGACAAAGTTACGCTCGTTTGAAAGCTTGATCTGTTATATTCATAATTCAATCACTGTCATTTTTCATTGTCAAGTATTTTTTTAGATACATGTTCTGATTCCCTGCTAGCATACCATGTTTTACACACTGAACCTTTGCCCATGCATGGTTATGTTTCACTATAATAAACTTTTTGTATGAACATCAACTTACAGTGTCATCTGCTTCATCCAATAGAGGTGCGTCTAAGATTCGCAAAATGGTATGGGATGTGCTGATTGGGCATTGTTTTTCGCGCTGGGGACATAAATGCGCAAATTATTCTCTGCCGGTGCAGTTTTTGTGGGAGTGTCTCGAGTATGCAGAGGACGCAACCCTCGACATGTAAGTACATTTATTTACAGTTTACTCTTTTATTCTATAGATTTTTATAATTCCGTGATTCAGCAAATTATAATTAACATCTGCTTTGGTAACAATTGTATTGTGGTACATAGGGAAAAGTTCCGCATCGCCTTTGTCAAGCTTTGCGTGTGCAAAGTAATGCGCAGCGCTTTTGGCTTTTACTTGGACAAAGTTATGCGGGGCTTTGTTTGGGCAAAGTTATGCGGGGCACTTGTCGGCTTTGTTTAGGCAAAGTTATGTACGGTAGGCTACTTGTCGGCTTTGTTTGGGCAAAGTTATGTACGGTACTTGTCGGCTTTTTTTGGGCAAAGTTATGCGGGGCACTTGTCGCGCTTTGTTTGGGCAAAGTTATGCGGAGTTAGGGTTAGGGTTAGAAACAAAATGTTTCTTATGACCCGTAAGTGTTAATGCATTTAGAAAGAGACGCTATCCCAAAAAACACTGCTAGTTACACTGTGGCCATTTTGGATAGGTTTCAGTTTTGGACATGAAAGGCTCCCAGTTGCACCATTTGTTCTTTCCTCCGTAAAACCTGTTCGGCTACATCAAATGACATGAAATTGGGGCACACATGTAGAAAACAAGTTAGGGAACCACATTTTTTAAATTGGACCTAATCCATCATGTACTTTTAAAAAATATTTGCAAAAATCCAAGACACAAAGACAGGTTTTTGTATTTTTCCAACTGTTTTTGTTATTCGCCTGTCCATAAATTATACACAGTTACTCATTTTGGTTATTGAACTTCCAACAATTAATTGTGAAGGGGTCAGCTTTGATTTTTAGGTATCAGGCATGTGTCTGTGACTTTTGCATCTGAAGTTATAAGGTAATTATTCCAAAGAGGGAAGAAATGGCCCCCTGCAATGGGTCCCTGGTGCATTCCGGGGAAAAAAGGGAATATGTATGCACTTAACATGTTTATTGAACATCTTGCACATGAGTCGGATGCACTCCATCTGCCACAGAAGTGCAATACCATGGACTTATATCAAAAAGCAAAATTTTTTGCTTAGACGGACAACTTGTCGGATTTAAGGTACCTCAGTTTAAATGGTCCTTATCTTCGTTCACTTACAATTAGCCCGAACTACCGTAAATCCGACAAATAATCCGACTAATCATGAAATCCAATTCAAGCCCGGTTAATTGCCATTGTTAGCAATATCAGTTGATAACACATTATGTGTGGTGCTTTACGTATAAAACTCCGTAGCGACACGTCCACAGATAAGTTGGACGGTATAGTGTGTGCAACCGATTTAATGAGCCACAAATGAGAAGTAGTGCTTAAACAGTATAAAACTACAACTTTCTCTTCTGTTGATAAAAGGCGCAGCCGTTTTGGATTCTGAACTCGGGATCCTCTGTGTTGCTCCGAGATATTTCTGGGAAACAGGAGCGTGCATGTTGTCACTTCCGGCTTCAAAACTCGGAATACGAGTTCCCCGCTGTCACGCCCACAAGGGTGGGGCCGAGCGCTGGTAGACAATCGGCAGCTAGTAGCGCTATTTAAACCAGCATATCCCAGAAGCCTGTACAAAGTATTGTTGCCATTTCCTAATGAGCCGTACTGAGCATTTTGCCTGTGTCCTGCCTGCCGTGTCCTGCCCTGCTGTTTCATCTGCCTTGCCTGCTCCTCGCCCCTCTCCGAGCTGCCTGATCCCACCTGACCTGCCCTCCTGCTCCGTCCTGCCCTGCTGCCCTGACGATCCTGCTCCTTCTCCCTCGTCGTCCCCACATCTCGTCCATATGTGTAGGATTGACCTTCCCGGTTGTCGACTTCTGCCCGTACCTCAACTATTCTTTTGGATCCTCATTCTGGTTTTGGCTGTTCAAGGTTCTATTAATAAAACCTTTGGCTACTGCACTTTGGGGTCTGCCTCCTGTGTCAGTACTGTACAGCACACCCGCACCAAAACTGCCCGAAATGGGTTGACAGAGACATTTCAGGGATTTTGAGTCATTCTGCGCTGCAGATGGTAGGGTTGTGCCGATAGACGATACTATCGTCTATCGACGATAGTCAGCCATATGGACGATAGCTAATAAAAATGACGATAATACGGCTTATTTTCTAGTTCAGGGGTTGGCAACCTTTTTGACATGGAGTGCCAATTAGATACTTTCTTGTTAGTTAGCGTGCCAC